ATCATTCTTCACCTCGTGGGGCTGCGCTAAAAAGCTTTTCGGATACATCGAGAAACCAAAATAAATCCCATTACATGCCTACTTTAGCGCTATTGCGATGATAGGACTTTGATCATTTCAAATGAAGGGAATCACAATTGACCACCGCTCATGGACAATTCCGTCTCTGATCGAATTATAGTTCAATCTATCTCTAAGCTACGGAAACATCTCTCAGTCGATTCATATATCCAAATTATCCTCAAGTAGGAAACGGCCTCTTGGATCTTAACTATATTCGCAGTCAAACAACATATGAAAAAAAAACTTCTGAGACGAGTGCTTTTATTCGATTTCCTTTTGCTCATATAATATAGAGCAAATACTCTGGTGATCGTGAAAGTTTGGTTAAATCCGTTTTTGTTTGAATTTTTTCGACTCTTCATAGCGAAATTCATTCTTATGACATATAACAACGTTCTCATTGGCACCATAAGAATCAATGGTTACACTATGCAAGACGTAGTGTATCATATGTAACAAAATTTAGCAAAACCACACGATTTCTTGAGCTGAAAATATTAGAATTAAATTCAGCATGTCCCAGCGTGCACAATAAGCGCAAAACAGATAAAAAAGCCACTTTCTGCGCTAAATTTGAAAAAATAACAACCTAAGTATAGGATTTTCGAAAAATAACCTTTTAAATTAGTTCTTCAACAACAATGCAGCAGTTACTGTTTGTTTTAGACTACCCTACAGTCACTTAGTTCTAACGAAACCATACTATTTAACCGCCTACTTAGAAATATCTAGTAGTAATCAATTAGTAATCAAGTAATCAATTATTCGCATAGTTGAAGTTATGAACCTTCTTGGCCTCAGGCATAAGACCTACTTTTCTCTATACGTATTAAGTTGGGTTACCTAGTTTAGACGAATAAACTCATGAACGTAGAATAGTGCTTATTTGATCGCATAGTAAAATAGAAACGACGTGGTCGATAATAGACAAAATCGGCTCCCACTCAGATCAAGTTCATATTCACAGGTCTCATGTAGCTTTTCTCAGTAATTAAAACTGGCATCTCAAAAAAACCATTTTCAGCCCCTCGTGGAAAACGTTTTGCATCCAAACTTTATCCTCTTTGTGAAGAATAATGCCAGTCTTCTCATGGTCCTCTCATCCTCTTCACTCTGTTCTTCTTCAAGGCATGCTATATATCTGTTGTTCTCTCTCATCGGTCATCATATACACATCACTCTCTCCCTTTGTTTTATGTGAATATCTCTTTCTCTCTATCTCCTATGGTCGATGAAGAGACAGAAGGGAGAGGGCAGTTAAACGCAAGTTAAAGAAGCAGACGGACGTATAGTTATAACATTATTGTATAGATTGTTGTTTTCGTATTAAAAATAAACGAGTCTCACGGCTCCAAATACATTGAACCTGCTGGGTATTCCTGAAACCGTCACACCCTTAGATGAACTTTATTTAGAGTATTTTCCTCATATCTTCTCTTCGCTCAAAGCAAATCTCAACTACTGTATACCACTCCATAGAGAATTTCACGGGCTACAAAATGATACATATAACATCGAGATCAAATTGGGTGTGGGTGTCCTAACGCTAGAAATACTAGCCGCGACCTCAACAAATCCATAGATCAACAGCATTCATCGCTTATATTATCCAGCCATTTTATCGTTAACCACTCCACTTTGTATATCATTCGATACAAAATTTCATGGGCTACAAAATGATATATAAAATGTTGAGGACAAATTCGGCCTGGGCGTCCTAATACTAGAAATGAATACTGAAAATGCATTTTCATCATTTTCCGGCGGATTTGGCCTAACTTGTAGAACGTCTGCTGACTACATTTCCGAACATAGAACCTTGAAGTTGGTATTAAATAAAAGAGCGCGTCGATTTCTATATATTTCGACAGAGAAACGTTATGCTGCACCTCGGAGTCTTGAGATAGAGATTTGTGAAAAACCTGATTTTCTAGCAAACTTAGTGATCTTAAAATTTCTCTCAGAAGCTTTTCAACCATACCACTGGATAGCGCCTTCAATTTTCCATAAAATGATATGCTGGGCAAGCTTCTACGATGTTGTCTCAAAAAGTGGGATAGAAAATACCATACAGATCTAAAACTCGATCGACGCGACTGAATAAATATCCATAATGTTAAAAAGCCTGAAACTCAGTGGTGCACGATCCTAGAAACTTGGCCAGCATATCGTTTTATGCAAAATTATATGGTTGAAAAGCTTCTGAGAGAAATTTTAAGATCACTAAGTTTGCTAGAAAACCGGATTTTTCGCAAACCTCTATCTCAAGACTCCGAGGTGTAGCATAACGTTTCACGAAAAAGTTTAACATTGTAACGCGACAGGTAAGTGGATTAACACGTTAAATGTTTCACATTCGGTGGTCTTAACGAGTTCAATTCGTACTTTTGATAGCGTTACACCTCAATAGTAAAACGTTCAAACTCGTTTAGTTTTAATGCATTTGATCTGTACAGTTTTCTAAACGCGTTAGTGTATCAGACACCTTTGCACTACTTATAAAAATTATTTTTGAGATCATCAAATAAATTCCTCAAGTCTCAAAATCCACGGATAGATGAATCTTAGGTAGCAGACCACAGCCATAGTCTACCAAGCACTGTTCATCAGTACCATTACGATGGATAATCTCTTGTACCTGTACACAGGAAGAGAAAAATTTTTAAAACTTGTGTTGACGCATCTTGCATCCAGTGGAAAAGCTGCGATACTTATATGCGAATTGGTCATGCAAAACTAAACGGTGACTGGAATGTCAACTTTTTAACGCGTTCGTGCGCGTGAACTCTTCTGTAAGTCATTGTTTAACCAGTTTGAATAAGTGAGTGGCCATTCTAAACCGTTTGGACTGAGTAAAATATTTGTTCTTTAGAAATAGAGATATTGTTTTCACTTTGCAACGTGTTAACGGTTTATATTGTTGATTATCGACAAATCCATCCATCCTATCGACCGAAGTTGAAATATCGAACACGTTACAACCCTATTCGACTCTCCCAAAGAAAATCCTGGGGAGTCCCCGAAAAGTGCCAAATCCGCGAGGATTCCCGGATTAGCCCCCTAAACATATACGAAATATGTAAACCTATAGGCACTCCCCAATATGTGTAGTCCTCTGAGAGTCTTTGCCTACTCCCCTTTCACCTTTTGTTTTGCAGATAAACAATATATAAAAATAATATAGTTCTACGATAAAATTTGACGAATTTTCTTCTAATAAGTCATCACTAATGTGTCAACCTTCATTTGTTGATACAAGCTACACTGGTACCAGTGATCTGCACTTAACTACTAATTAGTTATATGAAACTAAAAAAGATGGACCAATAGACCTCTATAATAGAATTTTTAGGGGACTCTCCGGGAACTCTTTTGGGGAGAGTTGACTAGGGAACAGGTAATTGTTTAGTCGGATGATATGTGCAATAGTAGTACGCCACCTGTCCAAAGGATGTGTCTCTGACCTTTTTCAATTGGTCCATATGCTTCTATAATAAAAGAAAAAAACTTATCTATCTGACGCATGTTCACTCCATTTATCCTACAACTGGTATAGCAATGAGCATTGCAAAAATTATAAAACGGTATAACACAAAAACACATCAATATTTCATCGAATACGGCATTGAACACTAACGAGGGAAGGTCCCTAACTGATAAATCGCTTTTGAGTCGAAATCTAGTGGATTATAGTTTATCGACCATGCTGATTCCGAATATGATCATGGGGGTTCCCCACACACAGCCCTTCGAAGATCCGGTCTTCTGGAAAACCACGTTTTCAGAAACTGCAAAAAATAATCTGAATCTTTCTTAACAATGCAGGATTGTAGCGCGCAAATTTCTGCTTAAAATGAAATATCCCCCAGCTCTACATGATCTTTCTTTGCAAAATTAAAGAATTTATAAGAGAATAAACTTTTCCTTCTTATTTCTATAGCTTTGAGCTGACAATGAACATTTCGGCTCTACTTATAAATTCTATAACTTTTCAAAGAAAGATCGTGTAGAGCTGGGGGATATTTCATTTTAATCAGAAATTTGCGTGTTACAATCCTGCATTGTAAGAAAGGTTCAGGTTATTTTTTGCAGTTAACTGGTACTTTCAGAAGACCGTATCTTCAAAGGGCTTTGGGGAACCTCCGTGGTCATATTGAGAATCAGCATGGTCGATAACCTACAATCCGCTAGATTTCGACTCAAAAGCGATTTATCAGTTAGGGACCTTTCCTCGTAAGTCCAATCCATTTTAGAACGTGAAGTACTTAGCTTACATTTCTTACGTTCACTACAACTAACGTGGATGTAAAACGTGATATTTGCGATGGTGAAAGATATCAACAATTACTTCGAGACGAACCAGGACGGTTTTTAACGTTATCTTTGAATGCTGATGGTGTACAAATGAAACACTGCGGCAACGCATCGTGGTGGTACATCATTTCTGCATTAATGCAATTCATCAAAAACAACTTTTTCAAATTCAGAATTCTATCATTGAAGGATTATGGCCTGGACCCAAAAAGTCGTTTCAAGAGCAAATGGAATAAGTTCCAAAACTGATCGTCGAACATGTAAAAGAAGTAGAAAAACGAAAATTCTACGTCGTGAAAGCTTTACGGGAAAATGTGACTCCTTTAAAGATTTTTTTTGTTAACTGTTTCATGTGATAAACCAGCTATCACATTATTACAAAACACAGCTCAACCGAATGCAGCGTATGGCTGCTATAGTTGTCAAATAAAATGTATCTTAAAATGCATAATTCGCTCTCTCACAAGCGTTTCACATTATCAGTTGCGACATATCAGTTTTCCACTTTTACTTATTTCAGATATTATCGAAGAAACTGGTAGTGATCACAATCGAATACGAGTATTTCCTTCATCGGTTAGAGCCGATGAACAATCACAACTGTGAAAAAAATCACACATACAATGAAAGCACACATACCAAAACAAAAATTTCAAGATGATTTAAAAGGCCACAATGGATCATGTCAACTAGGGCAAGTGATAATGTTTCATGTCGGTAAATTATCCAGATTTGATACATCACATAGTCTTTAGAGTGGTGTTTTCTACGTATCATTTTTTTCACCCTTGGAAACTTAGAGAGAGATGCCTAAGAGATTCCATAAACGTTGTACCCTAATATGACTATCATTCTTACTTACTTTGTATTCTAAAAACGAATGATTATTTTATTCTTCTCGTCGGCGTATCGTGCTAAACATTATTCTTGATACTGCAAAATCGACGACTTAGCTGAAGAATTCAACCAATTCAAATATCCGTCAACAGCATGTCGTATTTCAGGTTCACTGCATAAATGGAAGAAAAATAAATCAAATGAATTACGCATAGAAGTATTTTGAGGAAATATTTTTGAATTTCGGATTGTTTTCGCGGACATAATCGAAGACCAGTGGTCTTCTAGGAATTAGAAGACAAGTTAGAAGATCATGGTCTTCTATTTGGCTTTCAAGTCATCTAATCGGCAGTAGTCTTCTATTAGGGGATGGTCCTCTATTAAAGACTTGAACACAGGGAGGGGTTATTGTAGTTGTTTGGCTTTAGTATTTTTCATTGAATGTTGCCCACTATTTATTTTCAACATCTATGCGTAATTCATTTGATTTATTTTTCTTCCATTTATGCAGTGAACCTGAAATACGATATGCTGTTGACGGATATTTGAATTGGTTGAATTCCTCAGCAAACGAGAGTAATCTAAACAGAGTAATCTAAAACAAACAGTAACTACTGCATTGTTGTTGAAGAACTAATTTAAAAGATTATTTTTCGAAAATCCTATATTTAGGTTGTTATTTTTTCTAATTTAACAGGACAATGACGTTGGTTCTTTGAAAGTTTGTCGTACTACAGTCAATGCTAACCGTTTAACAGCTGGAAATTTTAGTGCGTGTCCAACGATCGACGTTATTAAACAAGCTGCTCACTACAGAAAACAGTTTTTGATTGATGAAGATATATTTAAAGAAATGCGTGTCTTGATGCATTTTTTTCGAGAAGCGGATACAAATTCATCCTAAACCAAAGGTAATTGATCGGCTGCTTAATATTCAGTTTCATACTTGGAGTATGAACGGCGTAACTGTGACATCAGTTGTGTGCCAGCGTTTAGTGTTCGACAGCTATTTGACCATGGTGGATCTACTAGCACTATTCTATTTTATGTTGTTCCTTTGCTGAAGGGACATTCCTGCTCTTAAGAACATGCTATAAATTCTAAAAGCGCTCACTTAGTTCATTTTTAAATGAAATTTTTACTTTCTGTTCAGGTTTCCTCCGAACAGCTGGCGAAAAACTATGGTAAGGTGCGCCTAAAGCAAACTAGCAGTGGAATTTTTTTCTACTTTATTATACACCATTCGATAGAGTTTTATGAGCTGATCACGAATCTGTAGTTGTCAGTTTTTCAAAACGATCTTTCCGTGTTGAAAAATCAAAAAAACTCAAAGGATCTAAAATTTGAAAAACTCCTCCAGTTTCAAAAAACTTTAAATTTTTTTCTTTTTTGTTCTTCTAAATTCAACACTAAAACTTGAGTATGAGCATGATACTTCATCGAGATTGAAATCAAAGGTCTATCCATTACAGATATCTTGGACTCTTCCTGTAAAAAGTTCCTAAACAATTTTGCGAACCTAACTAGTTCTTTTTGCGATGAGAC